GAGACCTCAGGTGATAAGCGTGGGGCGTCTCTCCATGATGGAGACCTTAGGTGATAGATAAGTGTGGTGTGTCTCTCCGTGATGGAGACCTTCAATTTTCTGCATCAGCATTTTGGGGTTTCCAGGATGCAAATCCTGGGAATGTCTTGTTAGGGTTGTAACTGAGGATCTCATTACTTTTGGAGCTATTTTAAATATTCAGTTTTCAATTTCACATTGCTAACACAGCCATCACTGATCTGTGTGTTGACCTTGCTAAATGTAATTATTATCTGCTGCAATCCTTGAGGTTTTCCCAGTCCTGCAATGTGTGCACAGGGGTACAGCAATACTCCCTATCCACAAGGGATGCACTGCCACAGCCCAGGGATGCCTGAAACCACGGACAGCATGGAACTCTAAATACGCTGCACTTTCTCCTATGCATACATTACTAAGATAAAGACAGGAAGATCAGATTTACTGAGATAGGGTCTCGCTATGTTGCCAGGTTGGTCTCGAACTCCTGGCCTGAGTAGCCAAGATTATAGGTGTGAGGCCCCACAGGCAGTGTCATTTATAAACTGAGGACAGTCAGTTGCAGTGAGTGGCTGTGTCGCATCTCAGGGGCCTCCTGCCGGCCTCCTGGACCACGCTGCTGCTCCCATGGTCTCACCCTCCACCCACAGGTCCAAGTGCTCCACATGCACCGTGGCTGCCACTTTCACAGTTTCATGAAAGAGCCTTTTGATCCCTTCCTCACAATTTCATCCAGAGATTTGTTCCGACCTTAGATCTCAGCAACCTCGGCATACAATTTTCTTTCTACTCAAGAACGTTCATTCACCTTTCCACCTTGAGGTCAGGAAAGCACTTGACATCTTCTCTTTGGCAGATCTGAATCGCCAGCATCACACTCCTGCACTTTGGGCTGCCTACATCAATTAAGGGCAGTCCGACCATAAGCACCTGGCACTGTGGCAGTGGGTGGCTCAGGGGGCCTGAGGCCCAGCTGGACCAAGGGAGGAGGACACGCGCCTGGAGCAGGATGGCCGAGACTGCACCGCACCACTCAAAACAGTGTGCAGCTCAAAACTTACCGTTTATCTCGGGAATTTTCCATGTAACATGTTCAGACCACAGGTGAGCATGGGTAACTGAAGCTGCAGAGAAGGGGACCTACTGTTTTCTTTCTTTTCCAATTTGGATGCCTTGTATTATTTTTTCTTACCTTATGGCACCGTCTATCTTGCTCTAGTTTTGGTATTTTATGCCTTCCAAAGAGTTGGTCCATTTAATCCAAGCTGTAGAACTGATCTGCACAGAGGGTTATTTTTTGCAATACTTCCTTATTATCCTTTTAACATCCACGGGGTTTAGAGTGACATTTCTCTTTACATCCACGGGGTTTAGAGTGACACTCACTCCTTATTGGTAACTGCATTTTCTCTCTTATCTTTGTATCTACTAAAGGTTAACCGATTTCATTATCTTTTCAAGTAATCACATTTTGATTTCATTGATTTCCCCTATTGTCTTAAAAATCAATTTGAGTGCTTTTGTTCTCATTTACTTTCTTCTGCTCCGGGTTTATCTTGCTTTTTCTCAAGCTTTTTTTTTAAAGTTGGAAACTTAGACTGAAAGTCATCTTCTTTTTGTAAAACAGCATTTAATCCTGTAAATCCCCTCTAGGCACTGCTTTCATTGTGTCTCACAAATTCTGACATGCTGTATTTTCGTGTGTGTACAGTTTTTGAAAGTTTTGTTTTCTGTTACTGATTTCCAGTTTAACTCCACCATGGCCAGAAAACTTACTTCGTATGATCCTGGTTTTTAAAAATGTGTTAAGGGCTCTTCTGTGGCAGGTGTGATCCATTGTGGTGGCTCATCTTTGTGAGCTAAAATGGGGTTGTGCTGCTGAGGCTGCAGTGCCAATCCAGCCGACTGGTGGTGTCATCAGGCGCCCTGCCCTCGCTGATTTGTCTCTGAGGCTCTGTCACCAGAGGAGTGCTGGAATCTGCAGCAATGCTGTGATTCTGCCCGTGTCTCCAGCAGCGCCTTCAGTGTGCTGTGTCCAAAGCCTTGCTGTTTGTGCATACACGTTCATGGCATGATCTCTTCCTCAAGAGCTGCCCCTTTTCTAAAGCTAGAACCTTTTCACTCCTGCTCATTTCTTTGCTCCAGGTCTCCCTCGGCCTGAAATAGCCACTCCCACCCTCTTCTGAGGCAGGTTTTTGCAGCCCCTCTTCTTCTGTCTTCCTACTTGTAAGCTGCCTACACCACAGCATCTACAGTGATGCTACATACGGGACACTGGTACCCAATTTCTGTGTTGAAAGCTAAACCCCAGATGTGAGGGTATTTGGAGATGGGGCCTGTGGGAGGTGATGAGGTCGCAAGGCAGAACACTCATGAACAGAATGAGTGCCCTTCTAAGGCCCCAGAGAGTTCCCTCACCCGCCTTCCTTTCAGCAGGAAGGCGCTGTCTGTGGACCAGGAGGGGGCCCTCACCAGACACTGAATCGAGCTAATCAGACTCAGTGATGTGATCAGTGCCCCCTTCCTGGTCCACAGACAGCAGATCTTGACCTTGGACTTTCAGCCTCCAGAACTGCAAGAAATAAAATTCTGTTGTTCACAAGCCACCAAGTCTATCACGTTTCATAACAGCATCCCAAATCAAATACGACAAATGAGCTTCTGGCAGACACCAGAGAGCTGGCTTAGTTTAAAAATCTACCCTCATACGCTGTCCTGACTGGTGCATTTACCCCAGCCCCTCTGCTGATCAGTCAGCATTTAGGTGTTCCACTATTTGCTGTTTGCTGCCTCTGTTGCTCGTTCCTTACGGTATTTCTTCTTTCGGGCTTTCTTTGGGGCCACTTGAATGTTTTTGTATTTCATTTGAAATACCTATGACGACTCCGTGTCTCTACACACGAGCTCTGCAAGGCTGCTCAAAGGGTTGTTGCAGGCACCTTAACCCTGTGTGCTCGACCTGGCACCCGCACACACGCTGCCACCTACAGCCCCACCGCCGCCACAGGCCCACCCCGCCACAGCTGTCCTGGGAACGGCACTGCACGGGCACTGGCGGGCACTGCCCTCGTCCTCTTGCACCATCACTCGCATCTGCAGATGCTCAGGGGAAGGAGGGAGCCCTGCAGGGAGTCTGCGGAGCAGGTCTGCCGGCTGGGAGGGCTCTTGGTTTGGAGTGACTCTGGACACTGGCCGGACGTGGAATTCCGGGGTGACCATTCTTTTCTCCCAGCACTGTAAGATGCATGGGCTTCCGTCTTCCTTCTGGCCTCCTGGGTTTCTTACGAGCGCCACAGTCATTCACTGCGGCATCCCTTGTCAGTACAGGCCACACCGTCTGGCTGCTGACGAAGGACAGCTGCCAAGGGCTCTTTCTTTGCCCCCAGTTCTCAGCGTTTGGTTTGTGTACGTCTGCACGTGGCTGTTAGCCTTACATGGGGTCTGCTCAGCTTCTTAAGTCTGCAGGTTTGTATCTGTGGAAAGCTCTCAGCCATTATTGCTGCAGTGTGTTTCTGGTCCCACCCCCTTTCTTCTGAATCTGACATCAACCTTTTTGGGACTGTCCTACAGGCCACAGCATGGAGGACACATGCCTCAACCCCAGGGCCCTCATGCTACCAGGCAGACCTACTGGTCTTGCAGGCGACAAGTGGCCCTGACGCCCTCTGGGAAGCTTCTGTTTCTTAGTCTGAGTGGATTTCTGTCCCTTGGCTTGAAAGGATTCCTGGGAAGGCATTACATGCATTTAATTCACAGACATCTACTACCACCATGATGCTGGTTCCAGATGCAAAGGACCCTGGGTGGCCTAGGCCCTCCAAGGGGACGTAGGTCTGCCCAACTCCACGTCCTCTACTCCTCCAAGGAACCCCTTTTCCAAACAAACCCAGTGCCACAGAGCACCAGGAGCAGAGCCACTGGAAGGGTGCCGGGCCCTGCCTGCCCAGGAGCAGGGCAGCTTGGCCAGCGCTTGGCCACAGGTGGCTCCGGAGCCACAGTGGACACAAGGCTCTCATGCAGCTCTCGGAAACTGCTCTGCCACCTCAGGATCACCTCCACGCCTGATCCACAGAGGCCACCTCCATTTCACATTGAGCTTGCTCCCCTCAGGGTGATAAGCACTGTCCCCATCATCTTCCCGGGCTGGGCCTGGCCGTGACACCTCATCTTCCTGGGGAATTAAGAGAGTGAAGCCAGTTGTTGTCTGTAACTGCCCGTGTCAACCAGAACCAAACCCAGCTGTGACCTGTCGGGGCCATGAGGGCAGGGCCAGTAGGACTGAAGCCAAGGGGATGCCTGCCACCTGCCTGTGCAAAAGCTCCCTGTGGCTTCTTGAGGGGAGAACTCAGCTTTGTCTGGGGACCACATCTCCCCGGTACCAGGGCCAGGAAAGCCATGTCTATGGGCAGGATGACCTTCGGGATGCGCTCACAAGCCCACCTTCTGTCCCTGACCTGCGTGCACTGACAACAGCAGGACATCAGGGGAAGCTTCTACCGTCCCCAGCCGCACACATCCCAGGCTGAGCCCAACCCAGCCTCCTCCTGCCTGCAGCCTCCAGCAACCCAGGCCTGGCAGTGCTCCTTCCTCTGCTACACAAGTGGGGTGCACAGGGCCACTAAGCAACACCCACCTACTAAGGAAATCAGGGAGTAGTGCTTCCAGGAGAGAGCTACCAGCACCGGGCCTGTCGCATAGTTGTGGAGATGGCACCTGGGCTCCCATGAAATGAGTGACGGAGCAAGGAGCTATGGCCTGCCCAGCCCAGCCCCCACTGTCCCTCTCGGGCCCACAGAGAGCTCTCACGGGAGCCAGCCAAGAGGGGCTCTCTGCAATCTTAGGGCATTCCCTTTGGAAACATCTCTGCCCCCAGAAACACACCCCATCAATCCCCACCAGCTCCGGCACCTCCCGGGCCCCACTGGGGACACAGCTGGCTGGGCCATTGGCCCCTGAGGGACAGGAGGTGGATGCCATGGTGGAAGGCCTGTGCTAAGACTTCTCAGCATCTCTAGGTGAGAACGGAGTCCAAGAGGACAGGAGCTTGGGGTGACAGGGGCTCCCAAGAGGAGTCAGGCTGTAGCCAGGCGGCACTCACGTGTTGCACACGGCCATCGTCTGACACGTCTCTCCTGTGCAGAACTCGGAGATGGTGCTATACTGCAGGTTGATGTGGTGGAAAAATGTTGTGGCTGGAAGAGAAGAGAAGGGGCCAGATATGAAAAACGCCAGGGCCGAGCCACCCCGTCCACCCCTGCTTCCAGCAACAGGTGCGGGAGCTCGGCTGGGGGAGTTCCACCAGTCCACGGGCCACTCTCTCCCCTCGCAGCAGTGGGCCGCTGAGCACCAGCTGTGGGGGTCCTCCTCGAGGACGGCCTTCCAGGAGGAGCGGGGAAGAGGGAAGGGGCCCACCCCCAGGCCCACGCGCACTGTTGCTGGCCAGCCACTCGTTAAGGTCAATCTCGCGGGGCAGCACCACCAGCTCCTTGAACTGGAAGTCGGTGATCCTGGCCTTGGTGTGCTCGGGCTCCAGATAGGCCTTCCTCTCCTCCGCAGCAGGCTTCTTGCCATTGGGCTTGGCTTTAGACTTCCTGCCAAGAGAGGAGACATAGTGTGGTCACTGTGTGCCCACCAAACCCAGGGCCTGCCCATGGGGTCACTTGTGGCAAGCGCAGGTGTAGAGAGAGCTGCCTGAGCCCATCGGGGCAACCCTGCCTTCCTGCCAGGCTCGTGGGGACACCAGCGGAGAGACTGCTCCGCAGAGGGCCGGCACAGCGCCTCCCGGGGAGGAAGGGCTGGCGCTATCACTTGTCATCACAGGGCCCTGCATGGAGGGCCTCCTTACTACCTCCTCCCACCAGGGAGGGCCCAGGGATTAGGGCCCCCAGAGCGTAGCCTCCAGCTTTCCAGTGCTCTTGGAAGGAGAGGAGAAGCAAACCTTCTCACTCCTGGTTTCTTCTGAGTTGGCCGGCCTACCCCACCCCCGGTGGCCCCAGTGAAAACACACTGCAGGCCTTGTGTGGGGCACAGAGCAGGCACCTGCCTTCCTGACTGGCTATGAGCACCGGGCCCCTGGCATGAGGCGGCAGCCTGGCCTGCAGCTCCAGCGTCCCTGCTGTCCACCAGGCCTGGGGAGGCCACAGGGTGATGGGGACCAAAGGTCTATGCGGCAACCTGACCTTGTTCTTACTTTCTTCTGTTTTGAAAAGCTGGTAATGGTTTATTTAAAAGAAAGAGAAAGGAAAAATGCTCCCTGAATGCCAGGGAAATGTTTCCCTTTCAGCTTCTCACAGAAATCTTCACCTTAAAAGGCGACAAGTGCAGGCCTCTGGGGGCAGTGCTGGGAGTGGCCAGAGCCAGGCAGGGAGCAGGGGCAGGGCCCATGGGCCCCAGGGCTCCCATTCTGCCCTCTCTCCAGAGCACAGGGCGTGGGGTCTGAGGAAGAGGAAGCGCAGGTGTGGATGGCTCACATGCAGCCTGGGTGCTTGGGGTACCCACAGTACAGGAGTGGGACAGACATGGACTTGAGCTTCCTTGCAGCCTGCAGCCCCTCTCCCGGACACAGCGAGGCACCCAGACTCCACACCAGCCTCTGCCAGGCCATGGCCGGCACATCCACCACAGGGTAGGCTCTCTCCATGATGCTGGGCCTGACCCTGACCACCCGAGGGCAGGCCTAAGCCTCCCTGTCTTGTGATCTCATGGCACACCACAGCCCACCTGGGCAGCTACAGATTGGGCTCAGCCTTCCCATTTGGAGGGGTAGATGCGGTGAGGACCTAGGCTGCCAGACAAGCTGCTGAACCACCTCTCTGCTCTGTGTCTTAGGAGCTGTGGCACCTTGCAAGCTCCAGGTGGCGGTTACCAGGAGGTCACGCAGGGCTGCCAGCAGGAGCAGCTGCCAGCATGCTCACTCTCAGGGTCTGCCCCAGGTCCTGCTCAGGGAGGCTGCCCTACTGACAGTTCCTGCACTCTCGCCAGCCTTCCAAGCCGGAGCTACATTCCCCTCCGGTCCTCAGAGGGAGCTGGGCAGAGCAGACCCTAGAGACCTGGCTTCCCTCCAAGGCTCTTCTCCCAGGCTCTGGCTGTGGTCAGGAGGTATGGAGCAGCTGCCACTCCAGCACTGGCGCCTCAGCCTCCCTGCCTCCTCCCATCTGCACCTGCTCTCCGGGAACACAGGGGCAAGTGTGCACCAGGCCCTCCAGTCTGGGCCTCCCTAAGCTGCTCCCCCAGTTTCACCCTGTCCCCAGCACCCAGGGCTGGCCAAACTTGGTGCACTGTGGGACAAGCCTCCTGCGAGCCCACCTTTCTTTGGACCTGGTCACTCGTTCCCATGGGGCATAAGGATGGGCAATGGCCCAAAGGTAGCAGGTCCAAGGGGACGTGCAGGACACAGCCTCTGATCCAGGAAGGGCCATGTGGGCACCAACAGAGGGACTTCCACAGGAGGCTACCGAACACCTGGCAGCAGCTGCATCTCCCTGACCTCAAGTGTCCTCCTTCCCAGAAGGGCAGGCTCTCGGTGAAGGCCCAGGCAGCCCACTGTGCAGTCCAAGCCAGCGGCAGCTGTTGAGGCCTCAGAGCACACGACATCCCGGTGGCACCCTCCTCATCCTTAGTCATTCTCAGCTTTGCCCAGTGGAGAAAACAACTCTGTGGCACCCCCAGCCCAGCCCCACAGGCTCTGCACCATCCAGGCCCAGGGATCTCCCCAGGCATGGCCTCAGTGGCCTGGCTGCCCCTCACCTAGGGACGTGCCAAGGTCCTGTGCCCTGCTCCCAGCTCCCCCCATGCTGCTAGCCAGGAGCCCCAGTGCACAGAAAGACCGAGTCCCTGGACATGGAGCGGGGACTGTTGGAGAAGGCTCCGGATGCAGGCAGGACAGAGATGGCGCTGAAGGGACTGAGGAGTGGGTGCTGGACCTCAGACCACCCACAGGGCTGCCATACCTCTTGGAAGAAGCAGAGAGGCAGATAGTGTGTGCACACCCCCAGAACAAAGCCCCTGACACTGTTCCCAATCCAACAGGTAGGTTCTGAGCCTGGGCCCCACCTGGAAGGCATCATGCACTTGGGAGGGGCCGGGCCAGCCAGAAGCACCTCCTTCCTGCCTCCCACATACCCGCCAGCCTCACCTCCCTCCTCCCTGCCACCACAGGGGTCTGCACCCTGCTTGTGCATACCAGCTGCTGCTCTGCCAACTGGCCCATCGTATGCCAGGCCTGGCAAACTTCTCCTGGTCCTTTAAGAGCCCATCAAATGCCACCCTCCCCATTCTGGCCAATTGGCACTGTGCCAGTCAGCCTCCTTGGCAACCAGCATGTAACTGATCCCTACTGGGAAGTGGGGCAACCCCTGCTGGACACGAATTTGGCAGGTAGGGGAAGGGGCACAGGGAGGCATCGGCGCTGCTGGGCTCCATGGAGAGGACAGACCATGCAGTGACCACACAGGGGGCCTGCCTCACCCTGCCCACAGCAGGCACACACTGCTTCACAGGCAGGGGGAGCTGGGGATATGCTGGGAGCCTGTACTCCTCATCCGTCCTGAGGGATGAGGCCAGCACAACCAAGTGACCAACACCTGTGCCACGTGACTTCGATTTCATTATCACAAATGGAACCCTGGCCAGACCCCACGGCCCACAGGAATGGGGTGCTCCCAGGCTCACAGACCCCCCACTCGCCCAGAGCACACTTGCTATGGAAGTCAAGAGAAGGCTGCAGACTCTGAGGTAGGTGGGTGGCAGCAAGAGGTGGCCCTCATTAGGCACTTCCCATCACACGTCAACTCCAAGGGGTGGGGCAGGCATGAGGGGCCCAGAAACTCAAGTTCCCAAGCCCAGGCCTAGAAAATACAGTGACCAGGAGAACTGTGGGGTGGAAGAGAGAGAAGGGCCGGCGGGTACTGCCTCCGAGGAGGGCGTGTCCTGCAGTTGTCTACAGCTGGCCCCTCACGTTCCTTGGATGGGGTGAGTGTCGGTGCTGGTTGGTCCACCCAGAGCCTGAAAGTCAGGGCTCCCAGTGACCCCTTTCCCCAAGACCCAGCCAGGTAGAGCCTCCAGCAGCCACCCGGCACAGAGCCTGGGGCTCAGCACACCTTACTCCCTGCAGTGCATGCCACGGGGGCCTCCCATCACCCCAAAATGCGGGAGAGGGCATCACATCCTGGGGTGCTTGGTGCCACCTCCACCCTACATTTCTGACTGGCCTTCTGGGTATTGGGTGGGGCCTGAAACCTACAGTTCTAACCTGAGTTCTCCCTGGGTGCTAACCCCACTTCTGTGGCAGGGCCTCAGGCTGCGGAATGGGACTACTTCTGGTTTTAACTGTCTGCACCCCCAAACAAATCAGCAGCCCCAGACATAGCAAGCTTTCACCAGCCTGCTGTGCCCTCTTCAAAGTGAGAGGCCCACTGAGAAGGAAAAAGCCAAGATGGCACAAGTAACACCAGCAGACATGGCAGACCCAGACGTCCACACAGGCAGGTGCTGCTGCTGCCCTAGAACCAGCCCCACATGGTTGCCACACTCCGCTCCTCGGCCCCTCACACGTTCAACTCCCAGGCGGTGTGGCTTCCCCATCGCTTCCCTTGAAACCTTCCTAAGCCCCAGAGAGGGGGCTCCGCCCGTCTTCCTCAGGGTCTGGCTGGGCTCCAGTCCTGCCTCTATGTCTCCTGTGGAGCGCCTTCAGCATTTGCCCTCAGATACAGTGCACATACTGGCACAGGCACACATGCACACTGCCTGTCAAACACACACCAGTGCCCTCACACACATAGCAGTCCCCACACACACACACACACACAGACGAGTCCTCTCACACACACACACGTCCTCTCACACACAGAGTCCTCTCACACACACCAGTGCCCTCACACACATAGCAGTCTCCTCACACACACACAGACGAGTCCTCTCACACACACACACGTCCTCTCACACACAGAGTCCTCTCACACACACCAGTGCCCTCACACACAGCAGTCCCCTCACACACACACACACACACAGACGAGTCCTCTCACACACACACACGTCCTCTCACACACACAGAGTCCTCTCACACACACCAGTGCCCTCACACACATAGCA